ATGATACATACTGTATTTATTCATGTATAATACTAGAAATTTAACCCTAAAAACCATCCATAAATTAGGGTATTTTACACGGGTTATTGGTAATTAGATTTTTATGTTTTTTAAGTTCAAAAAATGATGGAATTATCCTGGAGATCATATTATACATGAATAAATACAGTATGTATCATTGTAAGCAACAAGACAAACTAAATCTCATGTCTGGATCTACTAATGATATCAGGATGATCCAAGTATCAAAATGTAGTTTTTAAAGCAGAAATCTTTGATGAGGTCATTTTGACTAAATTTGATTTAATCCTCATCTCGATGCGACGGCTCACATTTATCACCATTTCTTTCTCCAAAACATCCTCCTTTAAAACACCTCTGAATAAAGAGCACACCATGCATTACATGAATAACATCTGAATAAAGTCAGTTTATTTTCATGATAAAAGTTTATATTTTATTACGTCAGTTTTAGGAAATGAAATATGATTTTTTTGACAACTATTAATTAGACCAAGTTCTGAAGATATGACTAAAAATCAGGCTTATATGTGGACAGAAAGGGGTTGTGCAAAATCAACACGATCAATTGCAACTGTTACCAATTAAACCATTATATTAACCAATTAAACCATTATATTAACCAATTAAACCATCATATTAACCAATTAAACCATCATATTAATCGTTATCAGCTAAATGACACAAGATGCATTTTTTTGTTTGACATTTCAAACAGCAAATATAAATTCAGGGTGATTTAAAGAGTTAATGCAGAACACCAACCGCCTACACCACTTCCAAAATAAAAAGAGTGAAACAACTAGACGTCATTGTAGTTTATTTTGAAAGGATGATAAAAGTTTACTCCACTCCACGTTCCATGGGACTGATGAAAATGTAATAAAGTTAAAGATCGTCAGCCAACAAGGATTTGCACCCGCACACGTCTGTTTCATTAACGGGTTTGTTGAGCTTTGGGACTCGGGCTAAAGTTCATTTATATTCACCAAAATAAGAGAGAGAAGAGATATTATTAAAYCCTGAATCCTCATCTTTCAAAACCTTTCTTTGTCCACTTGATAGGAAATGTTAAACAGAAATGATGGATAATTCAAGGAGAAAAAACAAAAACAGAAAATAGTCTTTGGTCTATGATAGAGGTTAATAAAACACATAAAACTAATGACTGATGAATTATTAAATACTTAAATAAAACCATTAACTATTTATWAATATCTGATCTCTTCCTTTATTGAAAAGGCTGATCGCAGTGGGATTAAAGGGTTTTAATGGTTTTTTTTCTTGCCCAGGGTTAATTTAGACACTCCTCAGATTTAAATCACTAATTTACAGGCAGTCAAACTTATTTTTGACATGTATAAACAGTAAACTAGTTATAAACTAACCAACAAACTGGATTCATTAATCTGCCTCTGACTTTCAAAGAACTGCTCAATCTGCTTGATTTTATTTTATTTTACAGACAGTTTTTACAACCAAACTGAGCAAACATTATTATATATATGTCCAGTTAAAACACAGCAGTTTTATTATGTTTTAAACTCTGTTAAAACTAAATTATTCCAGAGCAAGCATTGTTAAAAAACAACGAGAAGAAAAGGGTTGATGATGTCCTGAACAGACAGCTGCTTTATCAGATTAAAACCTGTTGGTTCACTCATCCTGAGCAGCGTATCACAGTTAACCGTCGTTGTGTGGCAGGAGTTCGTCTTCAGTCGAGGACAAAATGTCTCAACTCAACGTGGCGTGAAGCCATTTATCCTCACCATGAAAAAACACCAACATTAATCTCTGACACACAGCTGAAACGTTTGTCCGTTCGSCTCCAAAACGCAGTTTGATGTAAAACGAGCGCCGCTGAAAACTGGCAGAAAGAAGCTGCATAAAACTGCAGGTTTTTATTTTCATTTTTATAACCTCCATTAAATCCAACCTAAAAGATTCCTGTTCCAGCTGTGAAAACACCAGGA